TTTCCATGATTGGCATCATCAAACATCCCAAAAAAGGAAGCCGTACAGTGTTCGACATATTTATTGACTCTCATAATTTATCACATCCAACAAATTTCTTCAAGCTATAGCAAAAAACATATACGCATAGAAGCTAAGAAATTAAAATAATATGAGATTGTTAACTTTATTAATTACAACTCTATTGACAATAAATACAGTGATCTCTGTCAATGTATGATGTTTGTAATAGTCTAGACACCTACTATGATTTATAAGCTTTGACATAGTAATAATGTCATCTAGATCTAAGCTTTTTTACCTGAACAATAACAAACTTGCAAACCTTAATATTTATTCATAAAATTGGTCTGGCTTTACACTAAATAACCTACAAAAGGGTTACTAAAACAATTCTGCTACATAAAACGTTTGTCATGCTTTGAAATAACATTGTAGAAGTCTCAACTTTGGGCATCCAATTTTATTATTTTTTCAACTCATGTTTATTACAGTTAAATTATTAATTGATGCTTCATTATGCTTATTTCACAAAATCTTTTTTATTATTTCCTAATAATGAGTAATTTTTACCAGTGTTTCTGAATTTGCAAATAAAAAAAAATTGGGATGATTTACCTTTCTAGAAATTTACATACTGATAAGATAAAGCAGTCACACCATCTGTTTATTATCTTGATTAATTATAGTAAATGAGTCCCTATTACAGAAATACCTTGTTCAGTTTACTCAATTGCTAACCTTGCATCATATATAATACCTTTTTTAGTACTAGATGGTCCCAACCCAAGGGGGGATTCATCGATGTATCATATATAATACTTTATTATCTGTTTTTCTTATTAATGTCAGACACTCTATTGCTCAACTGGTATATGAGTAATTGCTTCAACATTTAGTGTGCAAGGTTTAACAATATTAACATCTATAAATCCTAAGATTAATGCTTTATTCCAACTCCAAACCTGAATTCTTCCATCATTTCCTACATTCCTGGATTGACTTCCACCCTTATATATGTAGTGTAACTGTAAAACTTTCCACAAAGGGCAAGAAACTATATGATGCCTACTACCCCTTTTCAAGTATAATAAGCCAATTTAACCTTGAGAAAAATGTTAATCTGCGCCCACTCTAATCCCTTCAATAAATTTTAGTTGGTATATTGACAAGATTAAGCTCCTGTGTAGGAAAATTTCTCAACCATACCAAAACGCCAGAAGTACTTCAGGTAAGTCCCCTCAATACCGCCACCAATTTTCCCAAAATCCAACTTTTTCAAAAATCCTGATAGCTTTAAAGCATCTAAGATATGAAAACCCGATTTTGCCAAGGAATATTTGAAATTATGTCTCTAATTTTACCATCCCTTTTATTATTTCCCTGATATTCAATTTTGATGATTTTAGAAATTTGCTGTCATTTAAGAGCTGGACCTCTAAAGATGGAGTACACCTTAATTCAAAAAACTTTTCAAATTTTAAAAAAGGTTAAATTGGGGAGCAGCCAATAATGGCATGCCTCATCACTCCCCCTACCCCAGTTTTCACGCCGCCTCACAAAATAGGTCTCTTTCTGCCTCAGTTCCTGTGATGGTTCTCAAATTAACCCTCTCCTCCCCAATGCAAACCCTATAAACCTGAAGCTGGTGAAGCTGCTGCCAAAGAGCCAAAGAACCCAAGAACATTGTCATGTACTGTAACACCCCCTTTCCCTATATAAATGACAGCGCCATTTCTTGTATGGTATTGGGCTATTTTGTTCTATTTCCGTTGGTTTTTTAATAGAAATTGTTTTCCCCTACTAATCTTAAAAAGTTTTTGCTATTTTCAGGGGAGCATATAGTGCAGCATGGAACACATCATATCCAACATGCTCCCACTAGAGTGTTCAAGCCCTAGTTGGACAAAAGGTTTTGGTACCACACTGAAAGCAGTTGCTTGGTTCCTCTGGTGGCTTATCAGGAACCTGACAGTTTGTTACCAGAGCTAACTTGGCTCCACTACGCCTTACAGTGTCTATTTCTCATCATAATCTCAATTTTACCATGGTATAAAAAATTAATACCATCTTAAAGTAAATATTCAATTGAGGTGGTTAAACCTTAGGGCAAGTATAACACACCATATTTGGGGTAAGAAATGAAAATTTGGAAATGGAGGGCAAACCCTAGGCACTGGGGTAGACTCTTTCTATGCATGTCGTGACAGATCAAAATTAGATGATATATAACCTCAGTGACTTTCTTGGATCAGCTGAGTCATATGCTTGACTCCACATGTATTGCTATCATCTTATAACAGAAATATAATAAATTTTCTGCCACAACTGGATTTACTTTTGCATCATGAGTGAAATTACTAGGACATCATTTCCAATATGCTAGCGCCCCAAAAAAATACTAACATCTTATTATTAATTTTTTATATTTACAAATATTTACATAAGTTTAAAGTTCAATTCTACTGGAAAAAGAGTACTGTGCCCTTGTCTGATGGATTGAGCACAACCTTTTAAGAATTTCTGGAATTTCAAAAATCTCCAAAGATGGTTAAGTTTCGAATTAACCAATTTGTATTACCCAGACACCTCTGAATACTCGTCCTATCCCTACCAGCTTTTTGCTAGCTACAGAAACAACAAAAACATGTGAAGTGAAATTTATATATTTCCATAAAAACATTAATTTTTCACTATATTGAAAAGAGATATTATATCAAATGAAATGGTAATTTTTTTCTGTGGACTAAAATGCAGCCTTTTTTCTGAAAAATCTACTAATCAAATATAATAAAGAACTGCTGAGTATATCTCTAGTATGTAACTAACTTTCAATGATAATTGTTAAAAATATTTAATTAAACTATAGTTACTGTCAAGAAGGTGTCTGTAACTCTCCAATTCCTAGCTAGGTGGTGCGCAGAGCACAGCCATAATGCCAGGAAGCTTATCATTAGTATTATTGGAAGTTTAGCCCTGCAGAGGGTGCTTGTCAAGAGAGTGTATGTAACTCTCTCATTACCAACAAGGTGATGTGAGATGCAAAACCACATTGCTAGGGAACTAGCCGTCAGGAAAATGGGAAGGAAGGCCTCTCAAATGGTGCCTGTGCAAAAGGCACCCCAGGCAAAGGTGTACAGCGCAACATAAAGTACCAGGTAATTCAGAAACATTACAGCTTGAGTGGACCCCAGAGGGGAGTCCATAATCAAGTGCAATTTGGCGTCAGGGAGCTTGGGTGCCTCAATCTGGAGGGGATCTGGGCGGCCCAAGGGAGCGTCTGGGATTTTGGTAAATTGTGATAAAAGGTAGTGGCTCACATAGTTGGAGACCTCCCTGAAGAGGTCCACCACCAAGTTAGCCCAAGGAGCCATTGGTAAAACGTAAAATAATGGGTAAATTTATTTAAAAAAGTTGACCAACAAGGAATGTTGGTCACAGAAACATATTTAAAGTGGGCTGGGGAAACTCAGGTTCTGCGGAAGTGCGCCCAAGCCTTGATGCTCCAATAAACAGAAGCTTCCATCCATTTTGGTAAGATACACCAAAAGTGCCTTCACTTGAGTAATCAATTAAAGCTGTATTTTACCCAAGCTTAAAATTTCATAACTTGAGTGGGATTCAAACCCTTGCTCTCCAATCAACCAAATTGAACCATCTTCGTTTATAATGTAAACTGTTTGTTTTAGAGCCTAGGCCAAGATAAGAGGCTGGGCGTTTTGCACCCCATTAGTATCAACCTGGGCATGCTTTGCTTGCACCCAGCGTTGATCTAAGGTGTGTTTCAGGTCAGGAAGAGCCTGAAGTTTCACCTTCTGGGCCTCCTGTCGCCCAGCCTTGTCTTTAGCATCAGTTCCTATTATAAAGTCATCCAACCATGACAGTGCTATGGCTAACAAAACACAGGGCAAAGGTGTTCAAGATGGTATATATTAATAAAAAAGAAAACCAACAACAAGTCTTGGATGGACCCCAAAAAGGAGTCTATATCAAAGCAGTGACCAGGGCTGGAGTGCTTGGGTGCCTTGGTCTGGATAGGACCAGGATGTCCCAGAAGTGCATCATCTGTGATCATTAAGTTTTTGCAAACAATATGGCAGATGTTGTTTTGACCTCCCTATAGAGGTCTGTGCACAGGTGCAACCAAGTTAGTATATATAAAAAAATAAAAACATAACTAATGGGGGATTTTATTTAAAGGAAGATGACCAACAAAGAAGGTTGGTCTCAAAGAAACATATTTAAAAAATCTGGGGTGATCAGTTGATTAGTGGAAGTGGTTCCAAGCCCAGGTGCACCAATGAGTGCATGCTTCCATTGGGCAGGGTACTATAGCTAGTAATTGACCAACCTCAGGTTATCAATTAAGTACAAGGATGACCCAAGTTGTTAATTTTGAAAATTGAATGGGTTTTAAAACTCTTTTTTCTATCAATTGAACTGAACCATCATAGTTAGTAAGATAGATAGTCAATTTCTACACCAAAGCTATACCATGGGGCTGGGCGTCATGCACTTTCCCTGGACCAACCTGGAAATATCTGGCCTGAGCCCAGCGTTGGTCCAGGGTGTGCTTCAGATCAGGGAGGTCCTGCAGCTTGACCTTTTGGGCCTCCTGACGCTCAGCCTTGCCTTGAATGTTGGTCCCAAATTAGGTCATGTAAACATGACAGATACTATCCAAAAGCTATTGTAAGTTATGTTGTTATAGTGATAATACAAAATAATCACATATACCTTTCTTTTCTTTTTTATGAATAAGTGCATTTGGATATTAACATGAAATAAGCTTACAGTTATAACTACTTGAATATAATTGTAGAAATACAAATATAGGATTTTTTGGTTAATAGCAAAGAACTTATAAAAGTTTGATCACTGAAGGCTTTATTCTTTCAAAAGTGATTTATGAAAATAAATATGGAAAAGAGATGAATATTTTTTTAAAAATTCTAAATACTTGAGCTATGTATGTAATTTTAAAGCCCTGATAAAAATAATGTCTTTGTCCAGATTTGAACTGGAGACCTTCTGTGTGATAGACAGATGTGATAACCAACTATGCCATAAATTTTTTTAAAACTCCAACTTTATTTTTATTTAATTGAGGTAAGCCGACCAGGGGATGGACATTACCAAACTAAAAACTAAAATCATAATAAAAAATTAACAATTCAAACAAAATGCCCAAAATGGACAGATTGATTGAATCATACCTAACAAATATCCAACCAGGTGGGTAACGAATACTGCTATCCCTCCATGGTGGATGGGGAGGGGGATCAGGGGGCTCATCTTTGGCCGCATCCATCTCATCCCATAGTAGGGTGCGTGTTAAGGCAGATAATAAGGGTGTGGGGGCATCGGCGGTATGGGGTTTGATATCCCTGATGACTGGAACTTCTGAATAGTTGCCAGACATCATAATGCCAATGATGTATTTGGCCAAAGCGTCTTCAGCTTTGAGGCAGGCGTCTGGGAGTTTAATAAACATGGCAATGTTGGTTTGGGTTATTTTTGCTTTCAGATTCCGTGCTACTGTTACCACATTCTGGATGGCTTCAGTGACGTTTTTTTGTAAAGTTTTCATATTGATCTTACTTTGTGTAGTAAGATCTTTGGGAATAACGGGAGGTGGAATTCCTCCTGTGAGCGCAGCCACATATTTGGTGGCAGCTTTGCGGAGCAGATGGCAATCTGGTGTGGCGTCTGCTTCTTCTGCAAGCTGGTGTTTGCTATAGAACAGTTTGGCGTTAGGTTGTGAGACATATTTCTGAGGCGAGAATTTTGCATCCCATTCTGTGTTACAGAGCCGCTTGACTTGCAGCAACAGTTCTTCAATGATGTTACCTGATTCATAAATTTCATACAATAATTCCCATGGGTTTTGGTTGAATTGGATTGGGGAATCAGCATACAGTTGAGGTTTGTTTGATTTGTTTGCAGACACATGGGATCATACTAGGATCCAATCTGATGTTTAATTGGAGGAATTATTTATGGCATTGGGGTGGAAAGAAGGCTGAATGGTGGCTGCAGGTGCAGCTGCTGCATCAGGCTTTGGGGGCGGATGAGGTAGTATTGTGCTCCATACCTAAAATTGTACAGGGTGGGCATCAGATTGGAGGTCAGCGGATGAGTCATCTAATCTGTCTATCATGGTTGAGTAGGGGCATTTGCGTCTCGAGTGGTCTAACTTAAAACATAATGGACAGATTGTCCACCCACCCTTGATGCGGGCCCAAAATGGATAATTGGGCGCTGAGGGAATAACAGTGCGTGGTGTAATTGCTGCCACAATTTTACTAAATTCAGGGCTTATTGTGGCATATGCTCAAGGCCCAGCAAGTCGTGTATCCCCATTTGGGACCACAAATTGTAGGATGGGGTTGGAGCCATAGGCTGCCAAACTGGCCATCAGCTCCTGATGGAGCACTTCAGGGGGAGGTGGGTGGGCAGGCCAGCAAACTGGACCACCAAAGTGGTGTCCGCTGGGAGCCAAGTCCAAGTTGTGGACAGAGGGGTGCCATGGAATACCAGGGGCACAGTTGCTGCAGTGGCAGCGTCAGCTTCGCAGGTGAAGCTGAGGTCAAAATACCCCTTGTAGGGGTGGAAATTGATAAATCTGGCGGGAATCATTACCACCTTTACCATTTCCATAATGGCTTGGTCATGGTATAGGAATAGTTTCCCATATTCAACCCTTAAGCCATAACGCATGTTGCTCTGGGAAAGCACTAGGGGGCAGTGTGGTACCGCTTGGGTATGAGCAAGGTGGGCGTCCAGGTCCTTGGGTGGAACGAATTGGCCCATGGGTTTGGAATGACTGGGTGAACCAGTCCTAGTGCGTTTTCCTGATGGATGGAAAATGGTGGGGGGAGTTTTGCCACTGCCCCACTCTGTAGCAGCTAGCAGAGAATCTGAGGACATTGGAGTGAAACTACTACAGGCAAATATGATTTGTTTTTTTAATTCGTGTAATTTGGCTTGGAAAGTTACGCTGAGCAGAAAGAGAGTAACTCCAACTTTATTTAAAAATAAATTTCTAAGGGAAAGTAGGAGGGGAGGGCGATTTACAGGCGATTCAGCCAAGGGTAAAAAAGACTGGGGGTTTGGGCCACTAGAGTTCTAGAACCTCTGACCATTACTGATTGGCGATTACCATTGCTAGCCACAGTTCTAGCATTGGAGGGCTTACAGGACATTCAATTCTCAGTCAATAAATTGCTTCATCGCATATGATGAGCGATCCGGTGGGAAAAGCCAAACGTGTGGCTTTATAACACCCAGGGATTAGGCGTGAAAATTTTGAGATCTGACGGAGCTGATCTGAAATAATCCAAATGGTCTTCAATACCAAACCTTTGTGGTGGGGGCGCTCGTTGGCCAACTACACCACAAAGACAGTAAATGTATTATTTATATATATTAGTAAGCGTTTAAAAGTGTAGAATTAACTTAAATAAAACTTATACTATAGATTGTCAATATATTTTACTAGAATTTTTACACTATTTTACAGTCATGTTTTAACATGATTAGAAGTCTTACTACATATTTAGAAAGCATTTTGTTATAACATTAGTAATAAACTACAACTCAATTTATAAGCCACTAAGACAGATCATGAACAATTTTTACAATATCAAAAAGATACTAAATTAGGAGATTATCTGATATCTTATTCTCAAATGATCTTAATTCAATTAGCTTCATAGAAAACAGTTTTATATATATGTTCACCAAAGTAATACTTATAAGGTGATTGTTTTACTATAAAAAAGCTATGATCTTTCTCAGCTCAAGTTATTGCAGAAAGTTCACAGCAAGGAACTAAATTTAAACGTGATATTATTTATGTCTTTCAGTACCCCACCATAAGCTTGTGGCTATAGAAGCTCACAACAGCTCCTGGATAAAAAAGTTATGATAACTTGTTAGTTTTCTGAGTTCAGTTGGATAAATCTAAATAATCCAGTAATATCAGCCATGAAGTCTTAATATCAGTGAGATATTCAGTCTTTATTAATATCTAAATACATATATTTATATTTATAATGAAAAGGTTTTAGTAACAATTCTGTCAGTATTAGCATATAATAAAAAATATCTTACCAGATAACATCATGTTGTGTAATTTGTAAGCTGAAAGTCAACTGTGCTCTATCTAATTATCCTAAATTTCTATAATCAAGATAACCTCATATAAGGTCATCACATTATTTGGTGTAAATTGCATAGCTGGGCAGGTGATTTCCTATTAATGGCTGCCACAGTGTAGTTTAAGTGTAGCCTGACACACTAGTTAAGATTTAAAGAACAACATGTTATCCATTGATTTCCTGACCACATTATCCAGAGAGTTCTAGTGGATGTGTACAGTAGGTACCATAAGTAAATCCTGTCATAGACAGATAGTACCACTATCTGAATAAAATCAAATTCAATTAGAACAAAACTATTTGATGGTTCTTACTATAGCATATAATCCCAAAATGAGAAATTATGATAGGTAAAATATATTGTAAAATTATGTAATAATTAACCTTTATATTTGTAGTTAGGTTAATAGTTTGTTGAAGTGTTATTAAGATCATATCTGATTCAGTTAATTGTTAAATTTATATAAGATATTATACATAGATATGGTGTTTTATCACTTATGATTTGTTATAGATTGTTTATATGAAGTTTGTTTTAGAAAATAAATTTTATAAAAAATAGTATATATCATTTCTCTTTATGCCCAGTGTAACTTTTTGAGCAATATTTAACAAAAAAGTACACTTTGAAAACACACCACAATTTTCACTAAAATGTTTTTAGATTTTCACCAGCTGATTTAGTGCAAGGCAGTAGCAAAAATCCCCAACCATTTTTAGTCTGTGGGAAAATGCATCTAGAATGGGGTTTACAGACTTACTTAACCCCTTGTTGCAAGTGGTATGACCAACCATCATTTAAAGCAATATATTCTAATAAATATATTTAACTATTAATTAGAAATGGGATTCGAAGGTGTAAGCAGTATCAAGCATGCAGCCCTTTAAACTATAGGGATTGCTAAGGCTGTATTAAATTACGTTTGATGCTTTTGCCTTAAAGATGTAGTTCTATAGATATGACAGATTAAAACCTATAGCACCACCCTTGCAAACTTTACTCCCTCAATGTAATAGTTGCTAGGGGTTCTTGCATCAGAATGTATATCTGTTCTGATCTACCAATATTTTAAACTCTATTTTATCTCCTGCTTTGAATAAATATTTGGTATGAGGAATCCTATTTTTATGTTGACCATCCGCTGGAATCTCAAATGCAATTTTGAACATAACTACAATGGAAATTTTCTGAGCCTTAGTGATTTGCTCAATCAGCCCAATATATATTATTAATTCACTAGTCTACCACTTTTGAGTGCTTCTTATTATACATAAAATGCATTAATAGGAACTCTAGGATAAGGGGTATATCTGGGCTGAATTTCAAGGGTGAAGGAATCTTTTTCTGATGTTGCTATAAGGAACCTAGCAGAAGAAAAATATTATAGCAAGTAGTTGAGCCTTTGGCAGTACCTGATACTACATTGTGCTCTCCTGTATTTCCAATAAATATAAATCTTTCTTAGTAGCATTTTTTTACAATTGTTTACAAAGTTGCTGTCCTCAAACAGTGCCTTATTAATTTGAGCTTAATAGCTAGGCCTTTGAAATCATAACCTAAATGTCAATTTTAATATTGTAGTGCTAACTACAGGGGATCAAATTAGTTCCCTGTAGATTATTTATCTAATTATGGATTCTACAGACTCCATTAAAAGGTTACCTCTGGTGGAAATACCATTGGTTGAAGAGGTCGCCTCAGGACTAGCTAAATCAGTACAAAAAGTATAAACCAAATTTGTGGTTTTAAATTCTCACTTTGGTAAACTTTCAGAGATTATGCTTAGCCACAACAGTCAAGTGAAAGAATCATTAAAAATACCAAACCGCATTAACACCACCTGAGGGTTTGAATGCAGATATGACTGGAGACTTACTCTGTTACAGATTTGTACCAAATCATGATGGCTATAACTTGAAG